GACCAAGCGTCGCTCCTGGACGATTATGGAGTGAGAGTGTGTTGTACAGGTAAAGACTGTAAAGTGGTAAAACAGTAATTTATTGTAAACTATTACAGCTAAATATTGTGAAATCATGTTAATATTTTACAGTGTACATTTAATTATTCAGAAACTTAATTTAATTAGAGGGCACATGGAGGCACCACTCAATATGGAAATAAATCATCATACAAAATAATAAATAAAATGTTAAACTCTTAAGTAGGGAAGGGTTTATGTAGGATTGAATTGGTGATTGCGATAAAAATACTTACGACCAGTTGATCGAGGTGAATTTCCAATATCGAGATATTATCTTCTCATAAGGCACTTATGAAAACAATAGAGCCTGGTATAAAAAATAAACAGTGTTGTGCTACCACTAATAATTTGTTGCTGAAATCTTCATCTCGTTTATGCTCTTCTCTCTTTTGACTCATAGGTGTTAAACCTCACACGGGCCTACATAGCGAAACACCAGAGGGATGTGGTCCCACTGATAGAAAAGTATGCAGATGAGTGGCAGATGACGGGAAACCCCATCTACAGGCCGATGTGGTGGCTCAGTCCCAGTGACCCTGTGACTTTCACCATCGATGACCAGTTCCTCATCGGAGACGAGGTGACCTGATGGGAAGGGATGGGGTTACGATGTACTTGGCATGGATGGTTTATGAATGTAACCTGATGCCTTGCTAATTAAGTGCACAATCTTCTTTGACATCTGAATTTGTTTTTACCAATTTGCATTTCCAGGTTCTAGTGGCACCGGTGCTGGAGAAGGGGGCAGTGCAGAGGGATATTTATTTACCTGACGGGGGCTTCCAGTGGCAGGACAGCCGCGATGCTCAGGTGTTTGACGGGGGGACGTTCCTACAGGACTACCCTGTGCCCTTGGAGGACGTGGCTGTCTTCTTTCGCAGAAGCTGAGTCACATGACTGATCCACCGAGTCACCTGACTTATCCTGTTACTGTTTTGAATCAAACCCTTTTTTTTGTATTACTAGTGCTGTTCTTAACTTGCACTTTTCCACTAAAGACTATTGACCCTGTCTCAGGGCTTGAGATGATATGTAGAAAGATTTTTTTTATACTTGCACTTTACAGTTCATTACGATTTTTTTTCTTTTGTCACAATTGTTTTCTTACTTTTGAAAAAATGTTAATCAGTTTTACCTCTTGGCTGATTTGTTTCCGGACTTTTTGATCTGTTCTGCTTTTTTTTGTATGTAAGTTCCAGAGAAATCTGTGCGTTTACATACCGCATTTCTACAGTCTTTAAATTGCTTCTGGCTCTCTTGATAAGGAGGAACAAAGAATCGGAATCTCTGAAGAAGACCAAATGAAGATATAGCAGAACTAAGGAAGAGGCTTATTGGGAGGAACTAGCTCACAGAAAGCTTCGTACAGAGGCCGACGCACCGTGATACTGTATGTTTTGCTAACTCATCGGAGAGGCTTTTACTTGAACTATTCAGGCCAAAGGGCTGATGTTTGATGAATGTACCTCAAGTTATGGTTTTTCAGTGCTTTACAGAGTCATTAGACAAAGCAATCTTACCCCTCAGCACTTATTCAGTAGTTCAACTTAATTTATCAACATACCACTCTGTCGGACACGTATGGATGTCCTTTAGTGCTGTAGGCCAGATATACTTGAGGCCAAGCCACTGTAATTGTACCTCTGGCTATATTTGAATTTAGTTTATTTGTTGCCTTCATACTGACCTGCTGTAGTAAGGTATTTCAAATGGGTTGCTATTTTTTTGTATGTCTGATGTTGATGTGCTCTTCAGAAGAAATCCTTGTTGACGACACCGCAGAGGTTGAAATGAGCTTTTTAATAGATAGTTACAAATGTTAGGAAATACAGTTATTTGCTTTCTTGCTGAGAGTTAGATGAGAAGACCGATACCTATGTCCCGTCCCAGTCTGACGGCATTTCGTGTTATAGTCACAGAATTAATTGAATCTATTGATTCGTGTTCACCAACACGATTTCGGCATTTCTTTCGTGTCACACAGAACGATTTTAAAAGCAATGTATTTCTATTGGTATGTTTCGTGCCTGCATCATGTCTTTTTGTCCGGTCGGGTCTTGGAAGACCAGAAGCTGTGTGGTTCATAAAAAAATGTTTATTACTCAATATCTTACCCTAAGCCTAACCCTAATCCTTTTATTTTAAATCGTATAATGTCAGAGTTTTTTTGCCGTCCGTGAGAAAAAGAAATGGCTCAGATTCTCAGAATACTGACATCTGTATTTTTTTTTCCCTTCTAAGTTGTTATTATTTGGTGCAGGCACGAAACATACTACCAATATAAATACATTGCTTCTAAAATCGTTCTGTGTCAGAATACTGAAATCTGTATTTTTTTTAATATCTTTTTCCTTTTAATTTGTTATTATTTACATTGCTTTTAAAATCGTTCTGTGTGACGCGAATACATTGGGAAATCGTGTTCGTGAACACGAATCAATAGATTAATTTCGTGACTATGACACGAAATGCCTTGAGACTGTTTTGCAACATTGAGCTATTGCAAGTGGCTGCTTAGCTTAGCATAAACAGCTAGCCTGGTCCAAAACTAGCATAATCTGGGAGCATGGTCTTCAGGGTTCTCTGCTGCCTTGGTCCTGTATATTCACAGATTAACATCATCCTAATATGTGTTACTAAATTGATCTTCAAAATATGTTATGTTCTCCATATGTTGAAATCATCCACATTCAGTTTATAGCCCGCTAACAGTTGTACTCCTTCAAACGTACACATTCAAATTTGCAGGCAAGACCATTTTTGGATTTATAAATTCATATCTCCACAGTGGCTTTACAGATTTGTAACATTAAAAATGTCCATAACCCTTTGTTCTTTTACAATTTCAACCATTTTCTCACAATGTCAGTTTATATCAAGAACATAGGGGAGTCATTCTACAGAAAAGGTGGAATCTGGGTGATACAAATCTGCTGAAATATATTCCTTCTAAACACATCTAAAACCTGTTAAATAGCAATAACTAACTTTTAACTTGATGAATCCACAACAAGTAGAGACTTAAAGTATTTTTAATTATTTTTATACTATTATACAAATCTTATTTGTATAGGATGTCACTGGTGTGACGTGTTACCAGGTAAGAAGAGTAACACCAGTCGACGGTAACACCAGTGAC